AAGAACTGAAGCTTAACAACTAAGCCACGTATAATACGGTACCATTAGTACATTTATGCTTAGCGATAGAGGTGTTTTAAGTAGGCCTAGTGGCTATTCATATTTATGTGAATTTTGTGGACGATTGATGTGATTGCTTCATAAGCTCCTTCACCATACCAATAAATAATCCTATCACTGTATCAGCTTTTCTCTGTTGGGTTACGTGATGTGTCTATACCCATGTTTACACTTAAGACTTCTGTTCAAATAAAGATAAGCCTAAGTTTGTTATAATTGTGAATGTTATCATTGCAACAATGTGGATGCAAGGATATACGCAAATTTCATAATGTATAATAATATAATAATGCATGTTGTAAGTGGATCGATTTCATGTATTTTTGTGTGTGGATGTGTGTGTGTGATGTGGTATTTAATATATACTGTATATTTATTTTTGTATCATATATACTGAGCTTTGGTTCGCAATAAAGAACAATTTCATAATTTATACATTGTATTTTTATGACAATAAATTTATAGTTAAAATATGCATTCATTAAAATGTAGTACTATATATTAAAACATTATTCTCGGGTATACCGGTAAATTTCGGTAGCGATCGGTCAGTACAACATTCACGGAGAAAATCCCCGCCTTAATCCTAGTACCCCGCTGGTGCAGCATGCGCCTACGTTATTATAATAAACACTCTCTTATCTAGTTTATTTACAAATATGTCAATCAGTCAGTATTGAGAGTTATTTTTGCTTTGAGATATAGGCCTATCTTAAGAATTCAATAAATGGAAAAAAAAGTAATCCTTCGTTGGTTAATGTTTACAAATAAAAGCAAGCAATATTGTACTTTTTTGTCTTGTAAATAATCCCAGATATTGAGGTAATATTTACCTTAGACCTATCTGTCAATTAGGACTATTTTCCAAGGGCCGTTTTTACATTTTCAAGATTGTATCAACCGTAACCGTCCGGGCTTCATTAATAATTTATAGTATTTTCTGAATCGTGTACCTTGGCCTATATCATGTACCTCCAAATCATGGAGGTATATAAAATAAACTGTAGGTATGTATACATGAAATTATTTTACACCTCCATGATCGAGTAAAGCGTGTGTAACTAATCAGTGGGCCTACAGACTTATTACACTGTATCAAACTGTACAAACATAGACATCTCATATGTAAGGTAAAAACTACTATATTCATTAGTAACTCTTTGTAAAGTAAATATTGTGGAAGTAAATAATTCATATTCATTAGGCACGGTACCCCATTATATCCCTTTGTGGAGTGAGCCGTCAACGATTCTACTTATAACTTAGTTTGTATTCGTGATGTGACAGTATTCTTTTTTTACCCAAAGCCCTCAGACTTTGTTGTTGAATCTAAACGTATTTAGGCCTCATTGTTATAAGAAATAAGATGTGTATTTATTTACAAAGCATGACACAAATAATACTGTAGCCCTATAACGCATGCCTCCTGATTCGTTCATATACATGAGTACCGTAACAAAATAGGACTACGGACTGATGAAGATGCATATTTAGTACATTTAAGGTTAGGTTCACACTAGAGTTGAGTAACCAGATCGGGAGCTAACCTTTAGCCACCGTGTGAGAACGAACAATTGGTTAGCGCTAACCGTACGAGGATCTGAATATGAAAGTTGAGCGCGTGTGTGAACACAGCCTTAGTACTTACATTTAGTAGATACATGGGCCTATATATATATAACAATTTCATTAGTCAGTTAGAATGTACGGGAGTCTGCATTGTAAATTCGTATGATATAGGCCTATTCCAAAAAGCAAACGTATACATACTGATTTATTGATATAATATTTGTATAGGCCTAATCTTATACAACATTAGATACGAGCAGATGATGCTGCATATTTGCTAGATATATATGAATATGTCATTTAAGAACATTAATCAATTCTACCTTTTGTAGTAAATGCTTATTATAGTTAATTTATAAGTAAAGCAAAAAAATAAAAAATGAAATAAAATAAAATTACACCTTTCGTTTTATTCTGACGACTTATTTTAAGAAATTTCGTTTGCATTCTATTTATTTATTTACTTTTTTTTGCAGAGCCTCAAACTGTTTAAAAAAATAGGCGTTTATAACAAAAACGCAACATTTGATTAATGAGAAGAATAGACTTCAATATTAAAAAGTCGTCTATTCTTTTAACGCTTTGGAAAAGCGCATGCGTACAACATCGGTACCGTCAATGGCACACCGCGTCCGTTTGGTGAAATGTATATCCTAGATGTCATCGACGCTCCGAGCTATTTTTACTAGCAAGATCTTCATTCATTAATCATTGAATAAAAACATAATACTACTACTAGATTTATTGTTTTCTATATAATATGGCTGGCCACATTGATTGTATTTGTAATGATAATTTAAATAAACAGTTCGGAAACGTGCTGCGCCCATCTCCATTATGTACTCCACAATAACGTTTTATACAGTACAGTTAAAAACTGACATTTGTATTTTTATACTTTTCAAAGTATGTTTTCAAAGTTCATAATAGTAGGCCCCAGTAGTAGGAGGGTTATAATGCGCAATATAAATGATTAACCTTTAACCCTTAATAAAGAATAAATAATAGGCCATTTAATAATAAGCCAGATATGACATGTTGTGATTGATGTAATATCTTGTATATCTTGTAGACAAGCCATTTCGGCTCTGTTATATTATGAATACAGTATGTTTGATATTAGGCCGGTTATTTCCAATATACGCGTAGGTTCATCATCATTATCATCATCATCATTATTATTATTATTATTATTATTATTATTATTATTATTATTATTATTATTATTATTATTATTATTATTATTATTATTATTATTATTATTATTGCATGTTTTCTTCTTCTGAATTGTATTTGTATTCTTATATGTATTATATAAAAAAATATATTTGGTGGTCACACCAGTGATGGAATGTAGCTGGTTAGATTTTCATATAAGCTTTATGTTTGTAAATAATATTGCTGTCATCTTATTAACTACAATTTCCCTTTCTTTTTTCTTTTATTAAATAATTATAGCACATAATTAGAACGTATTCGCACCACTATTCCTTTGCACAGGGTAGTAATAATGATGTGAAACCAGAATGACATGTAAACTCAAGTTTCTGTGTCTAGAGGGCGGTCTTCGTAATTTATTTTGGTACAGAAGTCTTGCTCTTCTTTTTGTTTCCATTATAAGGAGTAATATAAATAGGCCTAAATTACGGTATAGCATTATTATATGTGTTAGCTGCGAGACTTATTCTTAGAATTGTTGAATAAATTAATAAGCACCGTTATTTCATTTAACTTTTTAAGGATTGTTACTAATTAAATAATATTAATATAACAAACTCGAATGACACATCTGGGTTTTGTACCAAATAAAATTCTTAAATATAAAACTGCGAGACTTATTCTTAGAATTATTGAATAAATTAAGAAGCACCGTTAGTTTTACGTCGGGTATAGGCCAAAGTATATATTTTATTTAACTTTTTAAAGAATTGTTGCTAAAATAAAATAATAATAGGCCTATAACAAACTCGAACGACACATGGTAAAATAATTAAAAACATCAAGAAAAAAAATAAATTTTTATTCGGATGGTCTGTAAAAATTACTACAGGAACTTGACAATTTAATTTACTTTTTATTTTATTCAGACCTGAAATGAAATGTTATTGACGTGATCGTAACTTTTTAAAGAATTGTTGCTAAAATAAAATAATACTAGGCCTATAACAAACTCGAACGACACATGGTAAAATAATTAAAAACATCAAGAAAAAAAAATTTATTCGGATGATCTGTAAAAATTACTACAGGAACTTGACAATTTAATTTACTTTTTATTTTATTCAGACCTGAAATGAAATGTATTGACGTGATCGTAAGTCATTCAACATAATTAGAAAGGCCGATACCGAAAACTAAGCCTAACCATTTTTTTTACAATTAAACATATCGGTGAAAACATTATTGGCCTAGTTGTCTTTTCCCGACTGAGACTATATAAAACTATATAAATGATATATAAATTATATAGTTATCTTATCTATAGCTTTGCCTGAGACAGAAAGTCCCTTAACTTAACCCAAACATTGTCCATTAGTCATAGTGTATTTTTAAAATATATTTTTATTTAAATATATATTTTAGTTAAGGCGAGAATTTTTATTCCTTGTTTCGCGTACTTAATTTTTTAAAGATCATTGGAGGAGGGCGGAATAAAAATAAAATTTTGTTTTCTTCTTTAGCAAAGTTTTGCCGAAAACATCGAGACGGAGGAGAAAATAAAAATAAAGTTTTATTGGTGAATGTAAAATGGGATGGTTAAATGCTTCAAATGTATATAATTAGGAAGAAATATAGGCCAACATATTTTATCTTTCGGTAAAATGTGATGTTTTTCGTAGTTATTTTGAGCAGGACTATACTAAAATAGTAGGCCTCCGTGTTTTGCGTAAAATACATGATGATGGTCAATCCGGGTCATCCCTCCCATATTATTTATTTATTTATTCATCGAAAAAACCTCCAAACATGGAGAAGATAAAACACATTAAAAATACATTTACAGAATTAATTGCAAGAAACAAGGAAATCACATTTCAAATACAAAATAGGCCTATTACAGGAAGGCCTATTGGCCAGAAAGGTTTTTAAAAAAATCAGTCGGTATGGAACTGATTTTAAATCATTAAACGATTGACGGTTTGTAGAGAGGTGTGAACGCACCATTCTTTGAAGTCTATCAATATAAGACAATGGCCGCCGCTCGCGTCTAACAACCACACTGCTAGCACCTCGCGTACAGTCAGCGTCGAAGCGACCAATCAGAGACGGACGCTCTTTTGTTTCACGTGGGTTACGTAACCACGGGAAAGAAATCGGTGACCGAGTTAGCAGTGACATGAGTAGACGGAGAATATAAATAACCGAACTTCTGTCTAGGTTATTATATCGCTCATTGAGTTCATACAGTTAATCGAAAAAGTTACTTTGCTCCTGAAATCTGTTATCATTTTAGTTTGATCCGATCCTGAATAATGTCTGTCTTCCACAATTTGACCTGCGCCACTGACTTTGACCGGGCATCTCCCGTGTCGATTACCAGTTCTTCAAATGGATCGGAAACATTGAATACAAGTTCAACAAATCGACGGGGTAAGCGTAAACTGCGACAATACTACAAACGCCATATTAAGCTACCTTTTTCTTACGTCGAGATGATCACTATGGCCATTAAATCTTCGTCTTCTGACAAACTGACTCTTCGAGACATCACAAACTTTATTCAAGACAAGTTCCCTTGCTTTCGTGGCGAATACGTCGGATGGAAGAACAGTGTTAGACACAATCTATCTGCCAGTGAGTGCTTCACTAAAGTTCTACGAAATCCCAGTCAACCGTATGGTAAAAACAACTACTGGATAATGAATGCAGAATGTGAACATTGCAAGATAAATAGTGAGAAAGATGCTACCGGTGACCGACTACTGCCTGTATACTGCACACCTATCGTCGATTCAATTCCAACTCTGTCATCAAATGCTACCGAACCTGCCACAGACAACCCAACCAAACTACTCAAGCACCCTACAACTGAGATGTCGCATGGTACCAACATCGCTGCACCAGAGGCACACTACGACGATTGGTACTACGATCATTCATACAATTCTCGTCAAAGTTCCCGTCGACATCAGCGCTATCATCCTTACACACCTCCGCATAGTAACCACTGGCAACAAAAACGTCATCCAACAGCACAAGGAACCAACGCCATGGATGATCTGGCAAATCTTGAGGATCTGTATGTGCCGGCGCATGACATCGATTTCTCCATGATGTACAGCAATTCGAAAACGCTCGTTAAGGTTGGTTTACTAGCAATTACAGTATTAAATGTTTATTTATTTGATAGGATATTGAACATTTTAATTAATTTTTTTTTAGAATTCCTCAAATATTTTGGCAGGCAGAACACCACCAACAACAAAACACAGTAGCAGATTTTCGGATTACTGTGACTACTGTATATGGAAAAATCACTATCGTATGACAATCCTATTTTAACTATTTTTTTTTTTAATTCTTTGTTTTACGAAACAGGAGCAGTCAGAATGCCACGTGCCATATGCTACGAACTATCCTACTGGTTTTCAAGGTTATGAGACGCCCTACTATCCATATATGGACTACCATCTACCAACTTCGTACCAGCTTCCACAAGACCAGTACGATTGGCAGAGAGCGACACCAGTTGACAACAGGGTAGATGACTACGTACATCCATATACATTCGATTTCGCCCAACAAGTTTATGATGTTCCGTCATTCCCATCGTCACCTTCGTCAATTCATTCGTCTGATTCCTCTTCATCATATTCAGCTATGTAGGTTCCTGCTTCTGTCAAATGAAATCTAGAAGTTAGAATATAGGCCTCTACTGCTTTATCATAATTCTTAACAGTTTCCGTTAAATTGTTTTGTAACATCAGCCGTGATTATAGGGTAGACGATACATATAGGCCTAATACACATACTTTTATCATTTCAGTCGATGTGCAATGTATCTTAATATATATAGGCCTACTCCATGTTTTATTTATAAGTAAGTGTGTATATAATATGGGTTACTCTTCACCCTATTGTATTTATTGAGTATTAAGTAACATAGGCCTATTTAAGATTGATGAGTATATTTTGGTAAATAAATACAGTTTTTTGAAATATATCTGTGATTTTTTTGTTAAATTATTTTACACTGTCCTGAGTATCGTGTGCGAGTGACTGAATGTCTGCTTCTTGAGTGAGTTAGTATTGTTCCACTCATCACCTCCATACATACAACTTACTCAACAACCAGAGAAATGGCGAGAGACGAAGAGTGAGAGCTTTGTGATTTGTATATACTATAGTAAATTCATTATTGTTTCACTCATTAAGCATCATACGCAAACATACAGAACAAGAACTTATTCAACAAGGGGAATAGCAGAGGAAGTTTAACAGCGATATAGGCAATTACAGGATTCTTTAAATACATTATATAAAAACATTAATAATACTGTAATGTAATAGGCCTATTGGTAATAAGTGTGATGTTTTGCCCTGACGAAAACTCACATCGAATTATATTGGTAATTTTAAGAAGATATTGCTTATGTAAATACATTACATTTCAGACTATTTTAAAGGACACATAAGTACAATACTATAACGACAAGATACAAGATACAAGATACAAGATAAAATTTATTGTCTCCATTAAAAAGAAAACGAAGAAATTACAAAAGCTCGCACCCATTAAAATTACATTAAAATCACATTAAAATCACATAAAAATTTAACAAAGTACATCAAAACCCATAAAAAATAAAAATAAACAACATTTAACAAGGAGAAACTACTCAAGAGACAAAGAGTTATAACAACAATAACAACAACAATCGCTATTTTCATTAAATTGATTTAATTTTATTTTATTATTGCAATTATCATTATTATTATGATTATATTTATCATTATTATTGTTGTTATATTTGTCATGGTTATTTCAAAGGCATATATTATTATTATTGTGAATATAATCTATCTTTTATGATTTTCATTTAAGTATTTTATACCCTTAGCGATAAATGAATTACGGTATCTATTTGTGTTTGCAATCGGTACTCTCATACGACCACTCCTGGGGTTAAATGAGCTAATAAGCTTATCATGAAGCGGATGACTACAATATATTATATTATATTTAACAGGCAAAATTACAAAATGCAAACGAAATTTATGTTGCCCGCCAAATATTATCCAATTTAGTACAGTAGGCCTATTCACGTTATTATTGGCATTGGCAATTGATTACTTGTGACTGATTTATAAACTCCTTATCACTATACCAATAAATATGCCCATCACTGTATCAGCTTTTCTCTATTGACTTACATGATGTGTGTACACTTAATCCTTTTGTTTAAGTTTGCAATAATTGTGGATGTGACATTGCTAAAACTGAGGATAGAAGAATAATTATACGCAAATTTTCATTTCTATAATAATATAAGAATCAGTCTGAAAGTTCTTTATGAGATATCTTAAGATAAAAATGTCAATCAAGTAGGCCTTCGTTGGTTAATGTTAAATTAAGTAAAGCAATATTGTACAGTACTATTTTTGTCTTTTAATAATCCCAACAATGGAGGTATTATTAATTCATTATGATAGGTCAATAGGCTAATGTTATTTATAGGCCTACTACTAGAAACAAACATAATTATTTTAAAACACTTTGTAATTCTAAACATCCCTATTGTAGTCCACTATTTATATATTTAATTAGAATTTTACTGTTCTTGGTCTGTATATTAATGTATTTTTTATTTTTATTAGGCCAAATAAAAAAAAAATTACTTGTTTAGCGTCACATCACAACACAATTTTCGGTGGGGAGGGGCGGGGTTTTTTTTATTCTACAGTATCAGTAATCAAATAAAATGTGTTAAAATTAATCATTTTCAATAGGCCTTATTGTTGTTATAACAACTCCTTGGTTGCAGTCAAGTCTGGTTCACGTCAAACTTTAATCTAGATATAGATCCTTGCAATAGTTTAGAGAATAACAACTTCGTACGACACTCCACCTAAATAAATTGTTCTTGACACCTTAAACGCCTCTTGCATTTTCATTGCATATTGTAATTCTTCTATATTACCGCTTCGAAACATAGTTTATCGAAACTAAACAGCGTCGCAAGACACTCCGCCCTATACAAACACCCATTTGATACTGACTTGAACCTTGAACAATCGCATTGAGTTCGATACACAAACCTATTTCTATGCATTATATTATGTCCATGAATATACCGTATCGCTGTTTTGGCAAAACATACAGTTTATCAAAATTAGACAACTTTGTATCACACTCCACCCAATTGATACGTTTCTTAACACATTTTGGTTACTTATACTTTTTTTAAATAATATCCTACTACATTTACTTTCATTTTGCTCTACTGCAATATATATGTTCTGAGCAATCAGCATGCTGGTAAATATTTTGTTAACATTTTAATGTCCTGTTTTATATATCTTGAAGGTTTATAATAAAAAAAAATATTGGTTTTTTTTTAGTCCTTTTTAAATATATATATTTTTTAGTTTTGTTTTGTTTTTGTCTTAAAGTTTTGTAATAATGCCATAAACAGTAGAGTGTCTCATTCGCCTTATATTATAAAAATGTTATTACGAATAATGTTTAGAATAAGAATAGGATAAAAGTGAGAGTGGTGTATAAAGGGTGGGTAGTTTATGCGCTACCGCTGAGTGATAAGTTTGCACCTCCTTAGGCTAGAAATTTTCCAAGAAAAAAAATGTGTAGGCTTAACCATTTCCGGCTAACTCCTCACATTTGCATTCCCGTCTGACACAAAATCTACAACAACAATTATAAATTATGATTGCTTCAAAAAATGTTCACGTTAATCAGTATTTTACCAAATAAAAATTGGACATAAAAAATATAGGCCTACTGATTATATTTACGTAAAGCTATCGCAATTATATTTTATACAATTTGAATTATTTACAAATATAATACGTTAATGTCTATACTTAAAAATGTGAATATTTCCCCGACGACTATGATGATGATGATTGATAATGATGATGATGACGACGATGATGGTCTATCCACCCCCTCCCCACTCTTTCATGTCAATTGATCTTAGGTTCGCCAGTGTTAGGGGGAACATTAAAATCTGTAAGACAAACGGAGAATTACCTCAGAACGTCGTTCAAGCTCTGCCCACGCTATTATTACATTTTGTGTGAAATTAAATTTTCCCATATTTGGGTGTTATATGACATCTTCATGCCTACGGGCACATCACACAGATTGTCACAGACGTAAATAAAATATGGACAGAACAAATTACTACATAGGCCTACCAAAGGATATTAGGATCAGGCAATTGTCAGTTAAGCCATGGAAAATTTAGTCAGAATTAGACTAATTACTCCATGGTTAGGCATATGGTAAAATTATAATTTCATGACATACCGGTATAATAATAGGCCCTGTATGCAATCCCCGCACCAGACAAAATATTATAGGCCTCCCACTATATTGTTTTTTTTTTTTGGTTTTTGGGGATTTTTTTAGGATAGCCGGCTTAGCATTAAAATAGGCCCAAACTTAAAGCAAAAATTATATGTAAATTTATTGGTCATACTTTTAAATGTATTTTTCAGAGTTCAGTCGATCGGTAAAATGTACCGTAATGTTGTAGTAATGTTAAGTATGAATGTAATGAAATAGTAGGCCTTCATGTTTTGCGTAAAATACATGGTGATGCCGAGTCGGGTGCGTCATCCCTCCCACATTACCGTACTCGTATTAGCCAGAAAGGTTAAAAAAAAAATCAGTAGTTATATGGAACCTAGAAATAATGGTTGCATTAAATGCACAAAAAAAATATATATATATAATAGGCCTACTAGCTATTAGCGGTGATTTTAAATCATTAAACGATTAACGCTTTTTAGAGGTGTGAACGCACAATTCTTTAAAGTCTTTGAATAAAAGACAATGGCCACCGCTCTCGTCTAACCTACACCGCTAGCGCCTCGCGTACCGTTACCGTCAAAGTGACCAATCAGAGATGGACGCTCTTTTGTTTTACCACGAGTTAGCAGTGACATGAGCAGACAGAGAATATAAATAACTGAACTTCTGTCTAAATTATCATAGCGCTCATTGAGTTCATTTAGTACAGTTAATCAAAAAAGTTAAGTTTGCTTCTGAAACCATTTTATTTAAAGTTTGATCCTGAATCATGTCTGACCAAGAACGAGTTTCACCAGTCTTTCACAATTTGGCCTGTGCCACTGACTCTGACAGGGCATCTCCCGTGTCAACTACCAGTTCTTCAAATGGATCGGAAACATCATCAAATGCAAGTTCATCAAATCGACGGGGTAAGGGTAAGCTGCGACCAGACTACAAACGCCGTATCATGCTACCTTATTCTTACGTCGAGATGATCACTATGGCCATTAAATCTTCATCTTCTGATAAACTGACTCTTCGAGACATTACCAACTTCATGCAAGACAAATTCCATTGCTTTCGTGGCGAATACGTCGGATGGAAGAACAGTGTTAGACACAATCTATCTGCTAGTGAGTGCTTCAAGATGTGTATAAGAGACAGCAAACAGACAAAAAATTAAGTTTGCTCCTGAAACCATTTTATTGAAAGTTTGATCCTGAATCATGTCTGACCAAGAACGAGTTTCACCAGTCTTTCTCAATTTGGCCTGTGCCACTGACTCTGACAGGGCATCTCCCGTGTCAACTACCAGTTCTTCAAATGGATCGGAAACATCATCAAATGCAAGTTCATCAAATCGACGGGGTAAGGGTAAGCTGCGACCAGACTACAAACGCCGTATCAAGCTACCTTATTCTTACGTCGAGATGATCACTATGGCCATTAAATCTTCATCTTCTGATAAACTGACTCTTCGAGACATTACCAACTTCATGCAAGACAAGTTCCTTTGCTTTCGTGGCGAGTACGTCGGATGGAAGAACAGTGTTAGACACAATCTATCTACTAGTAAGTGCTTCACTAAAGTTCTGCGAGATTCCAGTCGACCGTATGGTAAAGACAACTTCTGGATAATGAATGCAGAATGTGAACATTGCAAGAACAAATGTGAGAACGATGTTGTGAGCAAACGAATCCTTTCTAACCACGCACCTATCTCCGATTCAATTCCACCTGTGTCTCCTGCATCGAGTGAGTCATCTACCGACCCTGCTGCAGACAATCAAATGAAACTACTCAACCACCCTACAACTAAAATGTCCAGCTGTCAACGCATGGTGCATGATACCAACACCGCTGCACCAGAGGAACACTACGACAATAGGTACTACGACCAATATTCATACACTGCTCATCACGGTTCCCGTCGTCATCATCGCTACCATCCTTACACATCTCCGCATAGCAACAACTGGCAACAAAAACGTCATCCAGTGGCTCGGCAAGGAACCAACTCCGTGGATGATCTGGAAACTATTGAGGATCTCTATGTGCCGTCGCATGACATCGATTTCTCCATGATGTACAACAATTCGAAAACGCTCGTTAAGGTTGGTTTACTAGCAATTTACTTACAGTATTAAATGTTTATTTATTTTATAGGATATTGAACATTTTAATTAATTTTTTTTATAGAATTCCTCAACTATTTTGGCAGGCAGAACACCACCAACAACAAAACACAGTAGGAGATTTTCAGATTACTGTGACTACTGTACACTATATGGAAAATGCACTATCGTATGACAATCATATTTTAACAATTTTTTTTTTAATTCTTTGTTTTACGTAACAGGAGCTGCCATATGCTACGAACTATCCTACTGGTTTTCAAGGTTATGAGACGCCCTACTATCCATATATGGACTACCATCTACCAACTTCGTGCCAGCTTCCACAAGACCAGTACGATTGGCAGAGAGCGACACCAGTTGACAACAGGGTAGATGACTACGTACATTCATATCCATTCGATTTCGCCCAACAAGTTTATGATGTTCCGTCATTTCCATCGTCACCTTCGTCAATTCATTCGTCTGATTCCTCTTCATCATATTCAGCTATGTAGGTTCCTGCTTCTCTTGTCAAATGAAATCTAGAAGTTAGAATATACTGCATTATCATAATTCTTAACAGTTCCCGTTAAATTGTTTTGTAATAGCGGCCGTGATTATAGGGTAGACGATAAATATAAGCCTAATACACATACTTTTATCAGTTCTGTCGATGTACAATGTATCTTAATATATATAGGCCTACTCCATGTTTTATTTATAAGTAAGTGTGTATATAATATGGGTTACTCTTCACCCTTATGTATTTATTGAGTATTAAGTAACATAGGCCTATTTAATATTGAGTATATTTTGGTAAATAAATACAGTTTTTTGAAATATATCAGTGATTTGTTTGTTAAATTATTTTACACTGTCCTGAGTATCGTGTGCGAGTGACTGAATGTCTGCTTCTTGAGTGAGTTAGTATTGTTCCACTCATCACCTCCATACATACAACTTACTCAACAAGCAGAGAAATGGCGAGAGACGAAGAGCTTTGTAGTGAATTCATTATTGATTCAATCATTGAGCATCATACGCAAACATACAGAACAAAAACTTATTCAACAAGGGAAATGGCAGAGGAAGTTAAACAGCGATATAGGCAATTACAGGATTCTTTAAATATAAATACTTTATATAGTATAAAAAGATTAATAATATTTTACTGTAATATATTCGTAATAAGTGTGATGTTTTGCCCTGACGAAAACTCACATCGAATTATATAGGTAATTTTAAGAAGATATTGCGTATGTAAATACATTACATTTCAGAATATTCTAAAGGACACATAAGTACAATACTATAACGACTACAATATACTATATATAATATTATATTTAACAGGCAAAATTACAAAATGCAAACGAAATTTATGTTGCCCGCCAAATATTATCCAATTTAGTAGGCCTCACGTTATTATTGGCATTGGCAATTGATTACTTGTGACTGATTCATAAACTCCTTATCACTATACCAATAAATATGCCCATCACTGTATCTGCTTTTCTCTATTGAGTTACGTGATGTGTTTACACTTGAGCCTTCTGTTCAAGTTTGCAATAATTGTGGATGTGGCATTGCTAAAACTGAGGATAGAAGAATAATTATACGCAAATTTTAAAGATAAAAATGTCAATCAAGTAGGCCTTGATTAATGTTAAATTAAGTAAAGCAATATTGTACGGTACTATTTTAGTCTTGTAATAATCCCAACAATGGAGTTATTATTAATTCATTATGATAGGTCAATAGGCTACTGTTATTTATAGGCCTACTACTAGAAACAAACATAATTATTTTGAAACGTTTTGTAATTCTAAACATCCCTATTGTAGTCCACTAATTCTATATTTAATTAGAATTTTACTGTTCTTTATCTGTATATTAATGTATTTTTTATTTGTATTAGGCCAAATAAAAAAATTACTTGTTTAGCGTCACATCACAACACAATTTTAGGTGGGGAGGGGTGGTTTTTTGTTTTTAATTCTACAGTATCAGTAATCAAATAGAATGTGTTAAAATTAATCATTTTCAATAGGCCTACAATAAATATTACACCTAGTTGGTGAAATCATGTTTTAATTCACTTGAAATAGGTCTATACTTATTTTGATTAGAATTTCTTGGACAATATTTTTTTTTTTTTATTAAAAAAAATTTCTGCTTCTAAACTTTTTGTTTTGCTTGAAAATTCAGGTGGGGGTGGTGACGCTAAACAATTATATATTTTTTTTTTGCCTTATTGGATGATTTTTTCCCCTTTTTTCTTCTTGTGAATTTAAAACTCAATTCAGTATTTTTGCTGCGATGTTTTAATTGGTTTTTTTTTTAATTTTTGAAATAAATACGAAACAATTAAATTATATAATTTATAATTAAAATTGTGATAGTTTTAGCTAGCAAGGAGTTGTTATAACAACTCCCTGGTTGCAGTCAAGTCTGGTTCACGTCAAACTTTTATTTAGATATACAGTAGATCCTTCCAATAGTTTAGAGAATAATAACTTCGTACGACACTCCACCTAAATAAATCGTTCTTGACACCTTAAACGTCTTGCATTTTCATTGCATATTGTAATTCTTCTATATTTACCGCTTCGAAACATATAGTTTATCGAAACTAAACAACGTCGCAAGACACTCCGCCCTATACAGATACCCTTTTGATACTGGCTTGAACCTTGAACAATTGCATTGAGTTCGATACACAAACCTAGTTCTATGCATTAATATATAATAAGTCCATGAATATACCGTATCGCTGGTTTGGCAAAACATACAGTTTATCAAAATTAGACAACTTTGTATTACACTCCACCCAATTAATACGTTTCTTAACACATTTTGGTCTCGCAAGCCTTGGTTACTTCTACTTTTTAAAAATAATATCCTACTACATTTACTTAAATTTTGGCCCACTACAATATATGTTCTGAGCAATCAGCATGCTGGTAAAGATTTTTTTTAACATTTTAATGTCCTTGTGTATAAGAGACAGATACTATATATAATATTATATTTAACAGGCAAAATTACAAAATGCAAACGAAATTTATGTTGCCCGCCAAATATTATCCAATTTAGTAGGCCTCACGTTATTATTGGCATTGGCAATTGATTACTTGTGACTGATTCATAAACTCCTTATCACTATACCAATAAATATGCCCATCACTGTATCTGCTTTTCTCTATTGAGTTACGTGATGTGTTTACACTTGAGCCTTCTGTTCAAGTTTGCAATAATTGTGGATGTGGCATTGCTAAAACTGAGGATAGAAGAATAATTATACGCAAATTTTCATTTCTATAATAATATAAGAATCAGTCTGAAAGTTCTTTATGAGATATCTTAAGATAAAAATGTCAATCAAGTAGGCCTTCGTTGGTTAATGTTAAATTAAGTAAAGCAATATTGT